TAGTTATTTGTAGTAGCCGTTGGTTTGGGTTTGTAATATAGGGGTGCCAGTGGGTTTTCTACGCCTCCATCACCGTTGTCCTCTCGTCACAGCAGTCAAGATTCTTTGCATCATGGTCCGACATTGATGGGTCAAACTGGAACTAGTCTGTCAAGTATATCAAGTGCTTTCAGTGTCTCTCAAATGCAATCATACCATCACACATTGCCGTCATCAGCTTCTGCAGCAGCACAAAAGAAAAAAGGAATAAAATCATCCCTTGGACGATTCTTTAGTAAAAAAGAAAAGGTATTGTACCTACCTAATATAATCAAGTTTATATTTATATACATATATATTCTTAATTGATATTTTTACAGCAGGGAAAGGGCAAAGAGGGAATGAGTGGTATGTTGGGTCACATGTCGTCTTCTGATATGTCACTGGCTAGTTCTTATGCTGGAGATGATACTTCAAGTTTATGTAGTGCAAGTTTAGGCCAAAAGGGAGATTTTGACAGGAGAAAAAAGAAAAAGTAAGTATTGTTAAACTGACTTTCCATTTAATGGTTATCACTTGTCTAATATATCTATTTTCTAGGCATGAATTACTCGAAGAAGCAATGAAGGCGGGAACTCCATTTGCTTTATGGAATGGACCAACTATTGTGGCTTGGTTAGAATTATGGGTTGGAATGCCAGCATGGTATGTGGCAGCTTGCAGAGCTAATGTTAAGTCTGGAGCCATAATGAGTGCTTTATCGGATACTGAAATACAAAGAGAGATTGGAATAAGCAATCCATTGCACCGTTTAAAGCTTAGATTAGCCATTCAGGAGATGGTATCTTTGACAAGTCCATCAGCCCCGGCAAAATCTCTTCGTTCAACATTAGCTTTTGGTGATATGAATCATGAATGGGTTGGAAACTATTGGTTGCCATCATTAGGATTGCCGCAATATCGATCTACGTTCATGGAATGTCTTGTAGATGCTAGAATGCTTGATCATCTGACAAAACGTGATTTTAGATCACAATTAAAAATGCTGGATGGTTTCCATCGGTAGGTTTATTTTATTTTTATTCTATTGATATTAATGCGTGAGAAGGCAGAGAACATAATATATGTATATATAATATATATGTTAATATATGTTATATTATAACATACAAAAATAAAATATATTATAATATATTATGTAATATATATTTATTTTGTGCTGTTATTTAGAACGAGCTTACAATTTGGTATAACATGCTTAAAACGGGTGAACTTTGATCGAAGTCAACTAGAAGAAAGACGCCGTATCGCTGAACATGAAACTGTAGACATTTTAGTTTGGTCTAATGAAAGAGTAATTAAATGGATTACTAGTATTGGTTTAAAGGTTTGTATTGATCGTAACTAAAAAAACTTATTGACTATATTGATTGACTGTGTGTGTAACTAACAACTCAAAATTTAGGAATATGTTAACAATTTAATTGAATCCGGTGTACATGGTGCTATCATTGCGCTTGACAAGAATTTTGATTCTAACACTCTTGCTATGGCACTTCAAGTACCTCCACAAAACGCACAAGTAAGTTGACAATTTGTTGATGGATGAATACAAAAAAGATAAAATTGTGTATTAATTTTATTTTTATTCGAATATTGTTAATAGGCTCGACAAGTGTTAGATACAGAGTTCAATAAACTATTGACCATATCGACAGAACGGAGATTAGACAGTAGTTGTAGTGATCTTGGAGCCTCCTGATATTATCCATCCGCCTCTCAAGATTAAAATTAAAATGAGAGGCGCCGATGGTATTGACTGTTTTAACTGTGCCGCATCAGCACTCCTTCAAGTTGTCTTAGCGGCATAGATAGTTATTGCATTTTTAAAAAGCAACATTTTGTTTTTTTATTTTATTTTATCCTTTTCATATTCTAAGTGGCATTTTTGGGTTCAAAAATAATTTTGAAACAATTGTTTTTTTTTTTTTTTGATTGTTGTTAAGTTAAAAAAAATTGTTAATAACTTAATGGGAATAATTACCATTTAACTTATTTATTAATTTATTGACTTAAATTCGTTCAAACATTTTTTTTTTTTTTTAAATACGTTTTTGATAACGTTTGTTGTATGTATAAATTTATTTAAAAATTTAAAAAGAAATGTATCTAAATTAGTTTTCTGTAATAGTTCCCCTAGATGAGAAGGATATAATAATGACAGAATGTGCACAATTTCCGTGAGATTAAGTACCAAAGTATTGTTTTAATGTATCATGTGTATACTATTAGCATTAAGAAATATTGACTTAACCATGATGTACTAATTAGTGGAATAAATATGTATAAAAATTGTTCTAACAAAACCTCATACATATAACCGCGATGCACAACGTAAACATATTTATCTCTTCCTTCGCTGTTTTTATTCAGTTTGTTTTAAAACTGAAATACCAAAGGTAAATCGTATAAGTTTACAGTTTAAATGTTTTTCTTTTTATACATATTATTGTTTTCCTTCTTTTTTTTCTTTTTTGTTAGTGGCCAGTGTTGTTCATGTATTTTAAATTATCGTCCTATCCTGTTGTAGTAAGTAATGTTTTAAATATATAATATTATTGTATATATATTTATTATATATATGTACCTACTATTTATATAAAATATACATATATAATATATATATAATGGTATACATAATTATACACTGTATGAACTGTTTATAATAAAAAAATAAGTTTTATCAGTACATAATAATTTATTTCTATAGATTCACCAGTTTGTTATTGTATATTGGAACTGACATTTAGGCCAAATTGTCTGAACTAAATAAAAGTTATTGAATTTTTAACCTAGTTTTGTTTGTTATGTAAATCGTGTGTTTGCGTTAAATATACAAACTTGACAATTTATTTCCCAATTTTACCATCAGTTGAATAATTTTATTTTTAAAAGGATTTCCATTAGATTTCTAAAAATGATATTTATGTTTATTTGAGTAATATTATATGTGCGTAGCGCATTAAATAAACTGAACTAATTATTGTTGGAATATCTGTATAATCTTATCAAAATGAATATTTTTTTTTAACTGCTACCTTATTTCATAAAAGTAACATAACATGAATATACAATACATTGTAAGGGGACAAGGTGGCCGAGTGGTCTAAGACGTCGGTTGCGGTGCAGCCATAGCTGGTTTAATTCTCGGCTACTGAGCGGCATTTTTCTTCGGGCAAGTTACGGTGTCCGGAGATCAAGTGCCACCATCCCCCACCTGGGGCATGGCAGAAACTACGGGTGCCCCACTAGAAATTCCTATCCAATACAAAACTCACAGTTCTACCCCCACCCAATGGCCTATGTTACCGCGGGTCATCTAAAAAAAAAAAAAAATGTGCACTTGTGGAAATCACTGTTATTCTGATTAATGATTGGCATAGTGGGCATAATATTATATTATATTGAACGGCTATCAAAATTTCTGTTAAATAACCAAAACATTTGTTTCAAATGGGTACTAGATATCTAAGGGACGGGCAAACTTTTTTAACGGAGGGCCAAAAGATGCTTATATTTTAGTTTTTTTGTATCATTTATATTTATTTTACAAACTAAAATTATGGTTTACCGGCTGCATTGTCTGCAGTAGGAGGATGTAGTTTACCCACAATTGAGATACCTATATTTTATTTAAGAGAAAGTCTCACTATATATTATGTGTTATCTCCCTCTTACAAGCTTATAACATAGAAAATGTATGTTCAGAAAAGCAAATTTTGTGTAGTCAACTTTAATATTACAGTGAATTGACATATTATCAAACTCAAAGGTAAAAATGTTAACAATATTTTAATTTTCATCAAGAAATAACTGTAAAATATTCATGACTTACTCAAAAATAAAAATATTTTAAAAACACATAATATAATATCTCTCTCAACAAAATTAAAGATAACAACAAAATTGGTTCTGTTGAATTTTATGTTTACGTTTGTAAAACTGAGAAAATATAATGTCATGCGGGTGTGAGGTCCTCATAATACAATTAAGAATTTGTAAGTAGAAACAAATGTTTTATTATAAGTACAAATTTCAAACAAATAGTTAATATATATATATATATTTATTTTCTTTAAAAAAATTATATAGGACATTTATGTAAATTGGAAAAATTGATAAATCATATTCTTAAAAAAAAAATATTACACGAAATATTTTTATTTTTATTTATTATTAGTATTAATGTGAATAACACATATACTTAACTCTTAAATTTAAAAAACAATGTGTATAAACTTTATTGTGGTGTTTAGGAAAATATAATTTAATTAAAAAAGACACATAATATAGAGGTACATAATATTGTATTGGGAAAATAAATGTGATTTTGTAGAAAGAAACAAAAAAAAATATTTCATAAATTCTATAATAATGTAATTCTATCTAAATTGGCAAGAAAAAAAATTATTCAAAAATTGTATAATTTAATAATAAGACATTTTTTTTAAATAATAATTTTGTTAAAATTTGTTTGTTCCATTTTTGCATACCGACAATTGATTAAAATCCTTTAAAAAATAAACAAAAATGACAACAGTTAAGATAATATAACAATAATTTTTTTCTTTTCTTTTCTTTACTAAATTAGATTTGGGTAAAATGTGATGTAATGTTTACATTAAATTTCAGTTAAAAGATATTTATAAAAAAAAATGTGATAATACAGATTTAGAGTTATCAACAATTTAAGTGAATGCACAAATTATCTATAAAACATATTATTAAAACAAAGTTTGTTTGGTACCTATAGTAAGAATATTATCGAGGAACTTGCAAGTGATAGTCATTGGACTGGTGTATTATCATTTAATTTATTAATAATTGAATAGCTGTATTTATTGATTTTTTTCCCATTAAAATTTGGGTATTCAAAATCAGTTCTATAATATCAATACTAGTTTGATGGACATTTATTTATAAACATATATCAAAGGTAATTTTTGACTTTAATAACTTATTCATCTCCTCATCCACCAATCATCTGTTCCTGGTAATTTATCACCTTGATTACCCTGTCCTTTCAAATTTCCAATCACTCCCATTACTGCTTTGTTTACTGCAGCTGCTACCATTTCTGAATTTATATTCTTTTCATTTGCATAACTATTATTGGCTGATTGATGACCACTTCCTCGGCTATATAACCGGTCATAATATTCCTGATCATAGTCCCAAATGTGATCTTGGGACCAGGCTTGTGGCTGATTGGGCGATCGTTCTCTTCTCCTATCCTTAACTCTGTCTCTACTATCGTAATCATTCCATTTGGGAGCCATTTCTTTTTTTGGTATAGCTTCTGTACACACCACACTACAGTCACCAACTTTATGATCTTTACCAATAACCTTTTGAGCTGATAAAGGGTCAGTAAATGTCACAAATGCAAAACCTCTATGTGGTCTGGGTAAAAATAAATCTGATATTTCACCAAATTTGATAAAATAATTTTTTAATGCATCTTCATCCACGTCTTCAGACACTTGACCTATAAATACTTTACGCGGAACTTTATTTACATGTTTATCTTTACTATTTGGTATACGTACATCACACCATCGACCTTCAATGTTGTGTCGTTCTAGCATAACGCGGACTTGAGATTTCTTATGCTTAAACCTGACAAATCCGTACCCTTTTGATTTACCATTAAGATCAGTCTTAATTTGAGTATATTCTACCTGACCAAATTTGGTGAAATATTTTTTCAAATCCTCTTCAGTTACCTTCCACGGTAAACCGAGTACAACCAAATCCATATCAGAAACACTGTTATCATCTTCTGCCTTATTATTATCATCAACTTCACTGTGCTTACGTTTTTCTGTAGGTGTATTTCTAAAATTGCACATATACATACGATCTAACCAGCCATCTTCGGGAGGGTACAATTTGCCTTCATTGAGACGTACTATACGCAACCTATTGTTAACACGATACTTCAAACCGATTATTCCAGGATATTGTGCTTCTAAAGTAGATAACAGAAGACTGTTGTCGCCTTCCGTAGGCATGTCAATAGGATCACTGTTTTCACTTGCTGATACTTGTACATACATGTCTAAGAAAAAAACAAATAAGATAATCTTTGTTAGTGAGCGTTTTTCATATTTAAATTAATTGTTCAATGTAAAAAAAAAAACAATAAATCTATAGTGCACCCAAAAATATTTTTTTTATAAGGCATTTCTCAAAAAAATAAATATACCCATGTGATAAATTAATTTTTGATAGTCCAACCAAATGTACTATTTAGACGGGTTAATGAAGCCAACAGCCAAGACAATAACTATAAAGATATTATGTGCATACTTCACGAAAAAAAAATTAGTCAAAATATAAATAAAAAATGTATCCACCTAATCAAAAAGAAATCGATCTCTTTATAGGCTCGTGTTTGATATTTTTATAGTGTTTTTAAATCAACAAGTATTTTTAATAACTTACCAAAATATGAGCAAATATATTAATATCGAATATATTATGATTCGTACAGATCTAAAGCGTAAAAACAGTACAGTCAACTAATCGAACGGTGTATCCAAAACTATAATCTGCGATAAATTATTTGTGAAATAGGTAATTGAAAAACAAATCGACAAATAAGGAATTACTGAAACTTTGAAAATTGATTACAATTAAATTTATCTCGTTATTGTAATATTGTCATTTATAGTGAGCCATCAACAACATTCAAATAACAAGAATAATGTTGTTAATTGTTACAGCTCAAATACTGAAAACCCTTATGCGGCCGACGTTTCTAGTCGCGTTATCACAAAAGCCGGCAGCCATATGCAATACGGTGGTGGAAACAATAAATGATAACGGTGGACGCGTCAACCATTGACATAACCAGTTACCAGACAGCATGAACTAAGATAAATCTTAGTCACGGACGTATATACAGGACTGGGCACGAGTCGTTATCAGTGGAAAATTAGTGTCACGCTTGGGACCACAGGAATACACATTGCGCCATCTATTTGTGTTATATTTAATTGCGAAATTATTTAATTATTTTTCTTTTTATTTTCATTATTCATACTGAAATGGATGTATACCACAGACGTCCGTTACGTATATTTAAAATACTCATTACAAATATACATTACATATGTACTTTGTACGTCCCTGTTATTACTATATTAAGGTTATCACCTTTTCATTTGAATCATTTTTATGTATTTTGTTCTTGTGTGCCAAATATGTTATGGGAGTAGTACTGTTAAATGCCATGGGTCAGAAATATTTATATCAGCTGGTGGTAGCATATTGTCCTCGATATCAATCTTAAATAAAATGTTTAATTTAATATTTATCTACTCAGTATATTTAATTTAAGTTATTTTTCTGAAATTGGGTACCTGTGGTATAGCATCTGGTTTTAAATTTTTACGTTCCATTTGTAGCTAATAATAAGAAGAATGAAATAAAATAAGTTGTGACTTATAGGTATCCAATAAATTAAAAAAATATAAATAAACACCTACAATATCGCTAGCTTTGAAATGTTTTTCACATAGCCTATATGAAATTTTATTTACATACTTTGTATTTATGGTCTGCAATAATGAAACCCATTTATCAAAAAAGATTTTTTGTTTTGGAAATCCAAATCTACAATTAATTAAACAAATTGCAATTTAATCATTCTAATTGCTTAGGTATAGTAATTAGAAATATTTCCCACAACTGTTCTATTAACGATTAAATGTATAATTTTAATACTACTTACGAAGATATGTTTTGTCCCTTTTTTGAAACACAATGGGGAAAACAACAAAACTGTACCATATTTATTTAATTAAGGATAATAAAATAATAACAAAATAGCAATACCGAATAATTCATTTACATTTTATTTTACATATTATATATCATATATTATGCAAATTAATACATTAAGATACAATTTTTGGAGGGAAATCTCTTTATGTAAATAAAAAGGTTTAATATATTTATAACATGGGTGTAAAAGATACACACAATATTATTAGAATATTATAATATATTAAATGTTGATAGAAATAAAATGTATTTTGAAATAAACGACTAGTTGCTTTATTATCCGCTAGATGTCAGCATAGACCATAGTGGGCCCACAGGCGTGACACTAATTTTCCAAAGGCTTATACAGTAAAGAGCGTTCGTGACCAGTCCTGTATATACGTCCGTGATCTTAGTTCATGCCAGACAGTAATGGTAATCACTATAAAAAATATCAGTATCATCATATTGTTCTGTGGTATCATGGAAGCATAGATCCACGGTCTATATAGGAAGACCCATGACAAAATTACAAAAAAGATTCACGAGCCTACAAATGCCATATTTCGGTGGCAAGTATTACTGTTGCGGAGCCACGACTGTTGTTCATGCATTACTTCGATATCTACGTGTGTGATAAGATAACATTTAAATAATTACCGCGTGATTCGGCATAATTCTGGTTTAGCAACCTATCGATTTTTCAAATATTTTTTTTTAACTACTTTAATGCTGCAAGGAGGAACTCGTGTTTGGTGTTTTTTTTTAACAACTTCTGTTTAATTCAGAGGCCTGCCCAAGGTGGTTTTACATACGATTAGCCAATCGGGGGATATGTTCGATTTTTTGTCCGAGCGTTATTCAATTCTAAGTATTTTTTTTTTAAAAACTTTATACCTAATATACGAAAAAAATGTAGTTTTTGAAGTTTTTGATCAATAACTTCAAAACGAAGTTTGTCCGAGCTTTTTTTTTTACATTCTTACAAAGCACCCTAAAACACGCATTAGGTAGGTACCTTCCTATTTACTACCTAATAAAATAATAAAATATATTATAATGATTACCTAATTAATGTTAATTATTATTTAGTATGATTTGTAGGTACCTACCTAGCAGATACCACCTAAATAGTTTTAAGCTCAATTAAATAATGTTAAACATTTGGATTCTATGAGAAAAACTCAAACACACAATTTTTTTTTTAGGGGTTTTCAGGAATTTATTCAAATTTTTACATTTTTAATTTATAATATATCATATAGGTTATCTATATCACATTTTTGTATTTAAATCCTGGTAGTCGAGTTTTAGATTAATACCTATACAACTTATAATTCGTAATGTAATTTAATTATCAAAAAAATATTACTTCCTCAACACTGTGCTAGGGGCTAGCTGGAGAATGCATTTTAAGTTTGTTGATTTTATTAAACTTATAAACCATAATATTATACTAACATATTTTAAGATATCAAATTGACAAATTGTAACTTAGTTATGATTATACCTATATAATACCTACCCTCAGGTTATTCACTGAATAATTATTAAAATGTAATACAAGTAATATTGTGTGTCGACAGTGTGCATTTATTTAAGGTAATGAATACCACATCTATAATTTACGTTATCAATATATTAGGAACTTTTAAATGTCTACCTGAAAGTCAGATTATATTTTTACGAGCTTGTGAATCGTTTAGCAACATTGGAATATTGGATATTCACTCAATTTCTCATATAGGTATATAGCGTTTTTCTTATTTGGTATTGTAATTCAAAAACGACTAACTGTAGTTAACTTGAAATTAAACCATATTTTATCAATTCCTGTACTTGATAACATTTTGACTCATTTTTATGTCGCGAACATTTAAAATTTTTTTAGTTTTTTTTTCAATAAATGCCAATACAATTTTATTTGTTCGGTCAAAAACCGTGAAAATGTAATTTTTAAATTTTAAATTTTAATTTTTAGCAACGCAAACAAAATATAGTAATCAATAAAATGTTATTTGTTGGGTAAAAAAGCTTGACAATTTAATACAAGGCTCTTTATATATTGTTACAATAGCAGTTGAATAATATTAAAAGTACATGAGGGAGGGCTGCAAATATTTACAAACTCTTACTTATTTCAATTCTATATATTATTTTATTTGTATACTATACTTAATAAGTTATGTTATCTATGTACAAAAGACATTTTTTTTGCAAATAAACATTTATTATTTATTTACATATGCACAATTTTTTTTAAAAAGCATTTAAAGTTTGATTTGACGAAATTGATCAAATTGAACATTTATAAAATGTTCAACTTTTATAGCTAAGGATTGAAACTTTAAAACAAGGTTTCATATAAATGGGTAAATAAGTTACTTTTTCACAATAATATAATCAAATATACTTATAGGCTATATACAGTACCTACTATAGTTATTAATTTCAATGGATCTTTGTTTAATATTGTGATTATTACCTATTACAATAACAATTGTTTTGAACATTATACTTTTTTGTAACATTGTACTTTTTATTGTTTTAAATAGGTAATGATAAAAAATATACATCTATAATTTATTATATTTAAAGAAATATTTTGAAATTTACTGTTTTCAGACACAAAACATTTTCCTATTCGAATAATTTTTTGAAAATATGTGAGGATATTATTTTGTATATTTACATATAATATATTCAAATATACATATATTTTATCGAGTTGGGGAGTCGTATCCATGGTCGTATGATGGCGGCATAATCACGCCAAGGACCGTGCAGCAACAGCCGCAGGGGCAGCTGGGACAAAACCCCTGTAGAGGGCTGCTAATCGTTTGCTCAGAGGGCCCCAACGACCCCTCGCATCTATTTTTAAATTTGTAGGTACATCCCCCATGAACACTTTACAAACATAATATTTGTATTTACAATATAATTATAAATTATAATAATTTATTGGGAACAAGTCTAGTTTAGCACCCACGCGAATTTCTCAATTTTTTTTTTGTCGGTAACCTATGTATATTACAATTTACAAGTGAACTAAGAATCATATTGCGAAAATCATTAGTTTTTAATTGAAAACGACGGGGAAGTTTGAATTTGGGGGTCAGACTTATTTTAAAGATATATAGCTAAATTAAAATTGTTGGTAGGTATTTTCATATTATATACCCGACGCAGTCACTCGCACGGACAATTAAAATCAAAACATCCCTCGACTTGTTATGTAAAACCACCACGGAAGGGTGTTACAATTATTTTTGCACCATCATTTTTAAAA